CCCGCTGCATGGCGATCGTCTTGAATCTTCTAATTGTTTGCTTTTTTTGTAAATGAATCGGATTCAAATGTGTGCTGAACTAGTGGTTATTGCTACACATAGGTATAAATAATACGTGCTCATTGATCGTATTTAATGTGTTTGCAGGTTAAGGATGATGGAAGTCTACCGTCGATTCCTGTTTTACCGCTGAGTTATTCTGACGCTTATGAAATACTGAGGAGAATGAAAGGACGTGCAGCACCGATGGACTGGCAGGGGGGGTTGAATATCACTTACAGGACTGGCCCGTATCTGAAAAATGATGCAACAGTTCGTATTGTTGTTCATTCATCGCTGCAAACAAGGTTAGTTTCTTTTTTTTTTCTAATGTTGCAATATTCTTACCTCAATTCATGGCTGTCGTCCCGTCTATATATTGCTAACAAGTTGTTTTTTTTTTAACTAGAATCTAGTCGATGTGGAAAAGTCTGTTAACAGTTTTGCGGGATGGGTTATGAACGAAATTGCTCGAATGCGTTTCGTTCGATGGCAGCAAGAATTACGGGGTGTCCGAACATACGTGAACGCACATCGAATCATTTGTGGATCAATATAATGAACGAGATTGAAGGAGTTAAAAGATGATGACGAAACTTTTTTTTGGCTTTTTCAGAACGATTCGTAACGTGATTGGTTATATTCATGGCGCTGATGATCCGGACCGATATGTGATTCTCGGTAATCATTTTGATGCCTGGGTTTACGGATCTATTGATCCGAATAGTGGAACAGCGGTACTTGCCGAAGTAGCCAGAGCCATTTCACAGACCATCAATGAAACGAATTGGCGCCCTGGTATGATTTCAATCAATCACATTTGCAGCAATCCCCAGTAGCATAGCAAGAAGAAATTAGTTTAAAGGTAGCAATTTTTGCAATTAGACGTCGCAGAATGCCTTGTTGCCTATGTTTATATTTTATTATAGCGCGAACAATAATGTTCTGCAGTTGGGATGCTGAAGAGTATGGACTGATTGGCTCAACAGAATTTGTCGAAGAATATGCAAATATTCTCAGTCGAAGAGCGGTTGTCTATTTGAATGTGGACAATATTCATTCGAATCAATCAATGTAATTATTATAGTTGATGTTGAAAATTTTTCATGCAATCAAATACATTGGAACGTTCATCTGAATTTCATGAATGTGCTCGCGTTTTAGTGATGTGATAATCGTATCACGTAAGCTGTAATTTCATGATCGTTTAAGACATAATCTTGTCATTATGATAATCTTATTGCTTGAGCTGAAGCATCAATTTCTATGGGAGAGAATTTTTAATCTTTATTTGAACGTCCTCCACTTCAGTCATCTACTTATTAGCATTTTTATTCGTAATTGAACTCATTTTTGCTATAGGCATGCTTCAACCGTACCAACTCTCTATCAAATGACAACCAATGTTGCTAAACGAATACCAAATCCAATGATTTCAGAGGTGAAACAAGGACGGAAAACTGTTTATGACACCTGGTAAGTGGTACAGCATAACGTGAATCTGAACTGCCTCATTTTATCCTTTCATGAATTTCATTCAATGTCGATTGTCTCTGTTTGCACGATTGTGTCTCTCATCGTGATACAATTAAAT